TGCTGGGCTCTGGTGATCCTTCCACCTCAGCCTTCCAAGTAGCCGGAACTACAGGCGTGCGCTACCATGCCCAGCTCGTTTTTGATTTATTGTAGAGATGAGGTCTTGCCAAGTTGCCCGGACGGATCTCGAACCCACGGGCTCAGGCAATCCACTCACCTCAGGCTCCCAAAGCGTGGGATTACAGGCTGAGCCACCGAGCCCGGCTTGGCATCACTTTAAATTCATAATCCCAATTTCTCAGTCCACAAAAACTGCCTGGCAAATCTATTATACTTTTTATGGTCCTTCTCCCACTATCCAATATGACTTTTTTTTTGAATTGGGGTCTCATTCTCTTGCCCAGGCTCGATTGCAGTGGTACAATCACAGTTGACCACAGCCTCCACCCTCCTGGGATAAGGCAATCCTTCCACCTCAGCCTCCCAAGTAGCTGGGAATACAAGTGCATGCCACCACACCCAGCTACTTTTCTGTAGAGATGAGGTCTTGCTATGTTGTTCAGGTTAGTCTTGAACTTCTGGGCTCAAGCTATCTTCCTGGCTCCACCTCCCCAAGTGCTGGGATTACAGGTGCGAGCTAGCGCACCTGGCCAAATTGACTATTTTAAGAGGCTCTCCTTTTATACATTTTATCCTGGCCCACTCCCCATGATCCTCTCTTATTTAATCAAGAAAACAGAAGCTACCAAAGTCAAAATTCATCATCCACATGGCAGATAGGACCACTTCATTCTTCTGCTTGAAGTTCTACAATGATTTCCCCTAACATTAATACTTAAAACCCAAGCACTGAGCCATGGCCAACCCTCACCTCTGCCTGCCTTAGCCTTTTATACCATTTTCTCCATTTTTAACACTCTGACCACACTTGCTTTTTCTCTGTCTGTGAGCATAGCAAGCTTGTTTCTGCTTAAGCACAAGCTATCAGGCATGCTTGCTCCCTGGGTCTCACACACTCCCTTCACCCTGTATTCCCAGCCCTTTTGTTACAAATATACTCTCAGCTTAAATGTGTTCCTTCTTCAGAAAGGCCCTGTTACACCTAAAACCACAATGGCTCATTTGGTTTTTCTGGGTGTTTTTTTTGAGTCGGAATCTCCACTGCAGGGGCTGGGGCTGGAGTGCAGTGGCATGCTCACGGCCACCCCAGCATTGATCCTTCTGCCTCAGCCTTCCAAGTAGCCGAACTACAGGTTCACACTACCACGCCCAGCTAACTTTTTGACATATTGTAGAAACGCGGTCTCGCCAAGTTGCCCAGGCTGGTCGTGAACCCCTGGGCTCAGGCAATCCTCCCGCCTGGGCCTCCCAAAGTGCTGGGATGACAGGCTTGAGCCGCCACGCCCAGCCTACATATTTTATTGAAACATTTACCGCTGACATTCAACTTTATAGTCAATGCCCACCTCTCCACCGCCATAATACAGCTAGCTCCTCAAGAGCAGACTGTGCTAGCTCTGAAAACAGCACCTAGCCCAACAGACCGTGTCCAGTCCTGATCTTACCTCCAAACAAAGGTTTGTTCTCAGGCGTGCTAGCCACATTGAAGGCAAAGGGTGTGCTCTGACTGGGTGTGCCCAGGGTGTTCTGACTTAAGCCTCCTCCAAAGGGGCTGGTGGTGCCTGTGGTCCCGCTTTGTCCTGCTCCAAACCCGAACGCTCCAGAGGTGGAGCTGGTGCCTGGGGCAGCCACATTGATCCCAAAGCCCCCACTGCCAGTGGGGGCTGCCGACCCCCCAAACGGGAAGGGTGACGGAGCTGTGCTGCCGAACACGGAGCTACTACTGCCACTGCTGGTGGTCTGGGTGGCAGCTCCAAAGCCAGAGGTGGTGGCCGCACCAAAGGAGAAAACGGCAGTGGTGCTGCCAAAGGCTGGTTGGGTGCTGGCGGGGGTGCCAAAAGCAGAGGCTGTGGTCTTCAGCCCGCCAAAAGCTGAATGTGTGGCACTGCCGAAGGTCGGCTGGGAGGGGGCAGGCGCTGGCGCCGCAGCTGGGGCTGCCGAGCTTCCGAAAGAGAAAGAGCTGCCAAAGCCTGGGGCAAGGGCCGGCTTGGTGGCCGCCTGCTGCTGGCCCTCAGTGGCCCCAAACGCGGGCTGGGGGTTGGCTCCTGGATACGACGGCAGCGGGGGCTTGGAGCCCGAGCCAAAGGGAATGTTGAACGCCGGGGTGGCCGTGTTACTGAGTGTCAGGGCAGGCTGGCTGGGGGGGTTCAGGGCTGAGGTGGTGAGGGGGCTGCCAAAACCACTCAGGCCCGCAGTGCTGCTGCTGGGGGCTGCCTGCACCGCACCGGGAAGGGACTGGCTGAAGGTGGCAACTGTCGTTGAGGCAGGCATGGCAGGAGGCTTGCTAAACTGGAAGACGGAGCTCACGGCTGGGTTAAAGCTGGCACCAGAGGCAGGGGGCGCCCCGAAGAGGAAAGGCTGTGAAGTGGAAGTGGTCGTGCTAGTCACGTTGCTCATGGCACTGGTCACGTTTACACCAAAGCCAAAAGCAGGCTTCAGAGCAGAGTCTGCGGATGTACTGGCTGTGGTGACGGAAGCCACTGTGGAAGTAGCAACGGCCAGGCCAGTGAAGAGAGGGGCAGTCGTGGCGGGAGCAGTGGACGGAGCGGTTGTTTGCTTGAAGAAGGGAGCAGACAGGGGCACAGATGTAGGTGGCCCCATGCTGCTAAAAATAGGCTCGAACGTCAGGGTTGAGGTGTTGGTGGTTGTGGGGAGGGTGGAGCTGGAGGACGCCGTGGCTGTGACCGAAGGGCTAGACGGCATGGGGTCTTCATTCTCACGCTTCGGCGGGGTCTTGAAAATGGGCTTGAACATGGGAGATGCTGAAGACACAGCAGGCGCAGCAAGGGAAGCAGGGTTGGAAGCTGAAGTGTTCGGCATCCCAAACAGAAAATTGTGCTTGGGGGTGGGGGAGGGGGTGGATGGGGCTTGGGGCTTGGCAGATGTCTCGGCCTGAAGGGTTGGAGGAGATTTGGTGTCGGTGACTGGTATCACGGAAGAAGCAGGGCTCAGCCCCAGGCAAGTGGCTGCGGGTTTTGAGTCTGGAGAGGTGGCTGGGAGGGGCCCCGACGGCGAAGAGCCCAGAGGGTCCAGCAGGCTTGGCGTCTTTGGAGGCAAACTGGCCTCGGTGGTTGCCACTCCAGCAGATTCTGGGAAGAAGAATTTTTAAGAAGTGAATGTGGAATACTTCAAATGCGATGATAGTCACATCAATTCTGTACCTTCTCCATGCCTCCCACCAAGGACCCAAAAGTCAGTCAATGACTATGACCAAGTCTATACTACAGGTCCAAAAAGTAAATCAAAGATGTGTCCGCTTTTCTACCACACAGATAATATGACAGACAGAAGGGGATCAAATGGGGCCTACTGTTCTGAAATAATGGAAACCTCAGTCATCTGCACTCTTAAGCGTGGTTACTTACCCAGACACATCCCTCTTATCTAACAAAGAGGTACTACGTCCACCTCCCTGGTGCTAAGTGGAGGGCAACAGCCACGAATGAAGCAGTCTCTGCCCTTGAGCCCTGGGAGAGGTTGAATACTAATCCTACACTACTATCTGATAAAGTGCAATAACACAGGTGTGTCTATATGCAGTGCCATGAAGGCATGGGCCTCCAATAATCAAGAGACCCTTGGCCACCTAGAAAGAAAAGAAATTAGTATTATTCTGGACCTGTGGTTCTTGTAAGCAGGTAACATCTTAACCACATCATCACATTTACACTTGAGAGATGTCACCCAAGGGAAGCACTATTCTCATTTTACAGATGACAGCATGGCTCAGAGCAGCCAAGAAACTACTGTGTTTTCAACGATGATGTTTTAGATCAAGAGCCACAACGGCCGGGCTCGGTGGCTCAGCCTGTAATCCCGTGCCTTTGGGAGGCTGAGGTGAGTGGATTGCTTGAGCCTGCGGGTTCGAGACCCACCTGG